TTATTACTGATCAGTCAGTAAGCTGACTCTCTCACATAGCACTCTGTTTAATAAAGTCTACTACAAAACACAAACACACACATACACATACTGACACACACACAGACATACACACAAAGCAGTAAGTCTGACTGTAAAACAGAAAACTGACTTTTTCTGTATGTGTGTTTCAGTATGTGTGTGTGTGTGTGTGTGTGTGTGTGTGTGTGTGTTACTACTGAACATTCAAATGAGTCCCCCTGGTCTCATGCACAGCTTTTCACACTAGGCTATCAAATCCCATAAGTAAATGTCCCACAATTTGCAGTCTAACAAATAGATGTATTAGATGTAGCATGTAACAGCAATGACTGTTCAAGGGGCAGCTAATCTGAAGAAAGTTTGCTTATGTGGAGAGAGATACAGAGCTTGTTTAGGGCAGTAAATGAGGTAAGTTTAGCACCACACAGAGGTGACCAATAACAGTAAATAGTGGATATCCTCTTTTATAGAATAGTGAGTAATAGAGGCCCGTGGGAGAATCCATAGATCTTAGTTCTGGGTCAGGAGGGCAGGGCAAGCAACATCACCCTCCACTATCTCTACCTGTAGGTCACACAGTGACTTCCCAGGGAACTGCTGAGATAAAGGGCTTCTGCAGAGCTTCACAACACATACCAGCAATTTCCATTGAATTATGAGATTCAATGGAAAGATTGTGTTTTGTTTTTGGGGGTTTGTCCAAGTGAATTTATGGCTTAGCAGGCCTTTATCAGAAAAGATTGGCTTGTTGAGCAAAGGGTTAGCTGCAGCACACTGAAAGGTGATTCACCACCAGGCTTCAGATGACTGATGGATGTCTAAGGTGAGAGAGGCCGCTACCTTCTTACAGAAAGCACATCCGTTCTCAGTGACCTAATGAAGGGGTCTCTGATAAACTCTGTTATGGATTATGATGACTGTTTTGTCAAATTGTCCCAGCGCAGCGGACACTGGATACCTTGTTTGATAAGCCTGCAGTGCGCTCATTTAATGACCTTTCTGAGGTGCACTGTAAAACAACAGCTTCTCTAAAAATCATAATAGGTCCTTTAGATCCTGTCAGATAAATAATAATAAAGCTTAGTCCTTTTTTTAAGCTCCTGTGTATACATGTGCTTGTGAGAGCGTTTCTGTGTAAAAGTGAGAAACAAAACAAGTATTTGTGCGTCTGTGTGAGAACAGCCTGAAAGCTCTTGTGAAGTTATACGGAGGCAGACAAAGCGAGGAAGTTTAGCTACTGGTCATTGTTCAAGTGCTCAGTTAGGTAACACTAATAGATGGTCTGCCTGTGTGCGAGTGAGTGTGTGTGTATATGTGTGTTGTTTCTGTACAGTCGAGCCCATTCAGGGACGTGTGCGGTGCTCACACGGGGACCGAGGTGTCTCTCAGCCCTCCGCACACACTCTCCCACGCTCAGGGGGACAAGCTTTTAGCGCTGTCTCTCCTTCACTAACAGACAGGACGGTGCGCTGGGCTGAAATCAGTATCTGGCCACGGGCTCTCAGTCCGTCTGGTCTCCCACTTCTTTCTCAGCCTCAGTAGGAAGGAAGTGACCCAACACTCAGGCACCCGTCCTCCGCTGAACACATTGTTGCCACATCAAGGCTCAGATATGTACAGTAGCTCAGCTGAAGTTTCCCACCCTCCGTCTCCTCCGCACTCCCAGCCCCACACCTTTAGAACAAATGGCAGAGCTGAATAACTGTTTGTTTTGAGCGCCATGGCGTGAGTACAGCTGCCCACTGATATCGATGGAGGAATCTAATCAGAGGACTTATTAGGAATCAGGCCATAGAGGAGGAAAAAACAATGGGCTGTAACATTTTGGACCGTAGATTATTTTTTGTTTGTTTGTTTATTTGTTTTGATGTCGTGGTAATTGTATTATTTCCTTGAAGGAAAAAAGAGAGAGAATTAATTACATGTTAAAAATGTTAACACCGATGATGACACGATGCTTCTGTATGTCTCTGAAAGAAAGCAACATGTATTATCAGCTCAAAAATGAAGTACAAGCAGCCACACTATCTTCTCCACGGAGACATGGCAGAAAAGGAAGATTGGACTCTAGTTACAGAGAAATTCTGGGCTTGTTTTCTTGCCAAATTAGTTTAGTTTGCTTTGTGAAAATTCTACTCCTCGCAACCACTCAATTAAAAAAAAAAAAAAATCAAATGGAGACAGATTTAAAGTTTAAAAGAAACTTTCAGTTCCACAGAAATAGCGTTCCTTGCTGTCTGTGTGGCCTCTGTCTCCCTCGCATTAATTAGAAGCAGCCACTCCACAAAATAACGGGCTTCTCACTATAGCACCGACTCCTTAACTCCTTTTCTAGCTTTATTGTGTACTGTTAAACGACTGTTGCTGCCGTGAAGGAATCTCTGAAGGAGATGGTTGGCAGGTTGTGGAGCTGTTTTTTGGTTGTTGTTGGTTTTTTTTTTTGTTTGTTTGGTTTTTTTAGCTGCATTAGAAATCGCACAGGAGTCTGTGTGCGCGTGCTTCCATATCCATCAGTAAAGTTCTGGCCCTGCCGTTCACATTAGGCTGTGGGAAATGCAGTTCTGCCTTCCTGTCCCTTCAAAGAAACTCTGCTCTCCACCAAAATGGCAGGAAGCTTCCCCGGCCCTCTGATAGACAGGCACAAAACAACACAGACTGCCAGCCTCACCACATCACCGTCTGACTCTGCCCTTTTTAATCGGCATTAAGCTGGCACCGGTGTCCGTCTGTGGAATTCAGCTTTTTTTTTTTCTTTTTTTTTCTTTTTTTTTTGCTAGCAATGAAAAACAAATATACAGCCAAGTGTGTAAAGGGATTGTGATTTCCTTGTCCAATTTATGGCTATAAATGTGTCCACAAGAAAGAGCAAATTGAAAAAAAAAATCCAGTGTAGACTGAAGGGGGAGACATTAGCCACATTATTTTTCTATGCTGGGATCTTTAAACATGGAAGCCAAGTAATCTTTGTGCTTTGATCTGTGGTAAGTTCTGAGTCAATGCCAGCCAAGGGTAACTAGCAGTAATCTGTCTTAATGACAGAGTTCAGAGTGGGCTGCTGTGGTGTGGTGCGGTGAGGTTCCCCAGCGAAACTTGGGAGTCTTCATCAGACTGTCTGTCTCTTCCGCTGCTTTAACGACTCCTAGAGAACCAAAAGAAGCGTTCCTCTTGCATGCTTGAGGGGAGGCGGTGGTGTATGTGTGAACATGTTCCATATATGCTCCTCCATCGCTCAGACGCTGCCACACTTAGTTGTGCAAGCATATTTTTTTTCTTTTAAGGGGATTCATGTTCTTTTTTTCTTTTTTTTAATGACTCTCTTTCAGGCTCCAGAGCAGAGATGCTGCTTTCTGGATGCAGACTGACTTTGTTTGGGGGGGTTGTAAACCTTCACTAAATTCTCCTGTTTTCTGTCGGGCTTCTCACTTCCTAGCTTTCAAATCCTCCCACTGGCATCTGGCTCTTAGCTGTACTGATGCTGTCGCTGTAAGAAAATTAAGTTTCACTCTGATTTTTGTCAATATATGCAGAAGCAGCAAAGTAGTGTCAGGCTAATATTTCCATCATCGGCGGTGCTGAACAAGTGTTGCTCATTGACTTATTGATTGCCCAGTTTAATGTATCATTGTACAGTGAGGGGCTGGTGCTTGGTTCGATCGTTGATTCGACCTGTTCTGTGGCCTTCCATCTGTCTCTCTTTCTCACATAACCATCCATCCATCTTCCTTTACTAACTCCTTCTCTGCAAAATCGCTGTTCTTCATCACATCTGGCTCGCTTCCCTCCGTGTTCAGGGCAGCTCCCCGCTTGGCTTTGGCAGTCAACAGCAGCAGAGGGGAAGGAAACAGAGGACAGCATAGAAGATTGTAGCGGCGTATTAATGAAATTAGCGCCATAGTTGGTTTGGGAGTATCAGGCGCCAGGCACCAGGGCTGGGCCGGGGTTAATTAGCTGGCAGCAGGCCTCTAATTGGGTCAGGACCATGTCAGACCCCTGGCTCTGGCCCTGCAGGGATTGGATTACAACGTCGGGGGACAGACAGCAGGGGGAGGGAAGGGGCGAGCGAGAGAGGGTGTGTGTCGTGGGGTGGGAGGGTGAGTGTAGAAGTGGAGGAGGGAAGGATGGAGAGGCTGCTGGAGGGTGCTACAGTGGATGTAGTAGAATGGGGGTGTGAGGAGGGACAAGGGAGTGCAGCTTAATCTGCCAGCAGGCGGTAAGCATGAAGGAGATGGGGAGGGCCTGGCTGGGTGAATACCTCTGTTAGACTGGATTGGATTGAAGCGGGTGGTGGTGGTGGCGAGGAGGGGGGTGCTGTGAAAGGGGGGCAGGGCAGGTGGTGAAGCTTGATATGTGTATCCATAGCAACGGCAGAGTGGTGTGACACCACATGGGATTTGCTCGTGTTTTGGGGTGTGGTCTTATCGCAGTCCTCATCCCTGTCAGGCCATGATTTTAAAGTTGTTTTGTGCCCCCCCCTTTTTTTTTTGCTTTCAGTTTTACTCCACAATTTGATTTACACACCACAACATATTTGGACACGATCTCTTTGTTTGCAATCAGCTACATAATATCGCTGTTGCTATGTCAATGAATTTTAGTGACTCTTTCGAGCCAACACACTGTTTTTTTTTTAGCCGTAAGGACCTTTTCATTTAAATTCCTCCAAACCGTCCATAATTCATGGTACATGCGTAGTTACTATATCCAGTTTGCTCACACTTAAGGGCAGTGGTCCTGCATTTCATTGCCACCACATGTAGCTTATAATGTAAGCATAAGTGTTACATTGGAATGAGACAGACCACCAAAGTCCTCCCAAATTGTAATTATTCATTTTCTTGGCTTCCCTTTTATAGAGTATAGCAGCAATATGAAACTGGGGTTTTCTCAATGCAGTACTAAATGCTTTGAACTCGGCAACCTCTCTATAAGCCACATTGCTGTGGGACGATTTTTTTCTGCCTGTTTTCTTGCTTGCCTTTCTTTCTTTCCTTTTTTATTGTCTTTGTGTTAATAATTTCTCTGTGTATGAGTGCAACTCAGAATTCAATATGATGATGATCAAGTGATGCCGATAAGCAACTACCACATGCTGTATCATGGTCACCGGTGTCATCAAACACCAGAAGGTTGCTTTCTTAAGGAGCAGAGCAGCTTCCCTATTAATGGTCTCCCTCATAATCCAGTCATAAACAAAAGGATTATTGTGACTGACACGTCTCTGTATACAAGAATAATAGTATCCAACTGTTTAATATGGGATTTTCTCATTGCCTGTTAATGCCATTCAAGACTTAGTTTAAGTACATGCAACATTTAGTCCTCTTTGGCCAGAAAAATCCTCAGATAGGGGCTTTTAACCTGTCTTAAAACATGACACTGGAGTCTGGAGGCTTAAATATAATCTGCTAAACACAAACAGATCAGTAGCAGGGGTTTAGCAGTGTTGTCTTATATGAGTATTTGTGTCTCTGCCAAGTGGTGGTTTTGCGCCTGGGTGGTTGGCAGCGTGGCCCGCAAGTGTTAGTCAGTGCCCTTGACTGAGCAGCGGCCCTGGTTAGACTGGCACCTGCGGCCGGGAGGCCCCGTCTGATCTCAGCCACAACATCACCGCCGCCGCCACCACCAGGCTAATCCAGCTTCGCTGTAGCCGGAGCCACCACAGACCCCCTTTCCTCTCCGTCTGTCCCTCTCTGTCTGGACCTCTTTTTTTTCTGTTCTGCATGTCTAATCTGCTGCATGCCTGCCTCTCTTGTCTTTTACTTTCTCAGTCCATTCACTTTCTTGACGCCAAGGCCAATTACAGGCCTTTCACGGAAGGGTACATTGTGTATCTCATGGTTTGCGGTGCACTGGGCTCTTTGTACAAACCGAATAGAACCACAGCAATGCACAACTGCCTATTTTAGAGTAAATAAAGTGTCACATCGAATCTGCTTCAGTTGTACTTTAATGCCTTTAGCTATAGGTGTATTATTTAAGCCATTCATTATCCTCCTTAAAGCATTTCCTATGTCATTTCACAATTTTTCAATATTTTGTGAGTTAGCTCAATTCATTGTAGGTGTTTTCTCTTTTGTATTTACAATATAACGAGAAAAGATACTAATCTGGAAGAACGCATATCATTTACTAAATGTAGATCCCTGTTGCACCTTTCATTTTACATAATGACAGGAGATAAAACGCTCATCCTGCTAACCAAATCTTTCTAGCAAGTCTTGCCCTTTGGCAGCCATCTTGGTAATGCCCCCCAAGCAGCTATTTGGGTATTTCGAAGCCTCTGCCTGAATAAGGAGAGAGCGTACTTAATATCAGGACATAACAGCTGTTTTATTTATATTTATATTTAAAATGTTCAGCTAAACCCATTACACACACCATGCATGTGCAAAGCTTCATAACATTACAGCTTTTTAACAGCTCAGCCAGCAGTGCAGTAACTATCAGCTTCTTTCTACCAGAGCACTGAACAAGTACCATTCTAATTCAGCCTGTATGATAAACTGTGAAAACATGCAGCACACATACATCTTTTCTTCTATAATGACTAGATGCGCCCTCTACAAAGCTGAAACTGTGGGTGTAGCAAAAGCACGGTTGGCTCACATGCTTTCCAGTTTGACTGTTGGTTGTTGTTGGTGAACTTCTTTGTTTATTGTAATGGCGTAAAGTACTTGCGTTAGTAGTGCGTAGGTGCTACGTAGAGCTTTGCAGACCCACATTTACACGTTGCTATCTACGCCATACATGGAAAAACCAGTAACGTGGGCTACTCTTATTTATGCAAGTGCTGTTGATCGTCTTTAAGCTCGCTCTTGCTGCAAAGGAGACGGTAGTCATGTTATACAATGAAATTCTTAGCAGTGGAGTGAAACTGTTAAAAACAAAACTATTCACTGCAGCCATTGTCTGCGTTTCTCTTACGTGATTCTTTGATATTTGATATTTTGCACTTCTTCCTCTACGTGGTAAACTCCACTGTGGTCTCACTCTTTCATGTTCAAGCCAACTTTTTGACTGGTCAACACACAAACCTTTGCACAATCCTCTTTTCTGCAAATGGAAAAAAAATACAGGATACTTGACAAAAAAGCTACGCGCCTCAGAAAACATGAACCTTTTTCAGCTTTTCAGCTGTCCAGAAGAAAAATACAACAAGCGAAATTAAAGACGTGTATGAATTTAATCCAGAACAAATTTTGCCAGCGTATTCCCAGGAGCTGTAGGTTGTGAGTGCGAGTGAGACCAGGACTGGATGTATTTGACAGGCTGACACCACTCCACAGTGACCTGTAGGTGAGCTCTCCAATACTTCCCCAGAGCATTTCACCTATTCATCTGTTCTATTAGTTCCTCTTTAACACCTCTGCCAGGCCTGACATTTTTTCAGGAGGTTATACTAAAAGGTCACAGGTCAGGGTTCAGTCCAAGTACAAATTAGCATAGAAGGGTCTCCTTAAAAAAAGATCTATTTGAGATTGTGGGTCTGTGGTACATTTTAACACAGGTGTATATTTCAATTATTTTTTGCATGTTTCAAATATGTTCCAGGAGGCTATTTTTTTTGAAGGTATCTCAGTCTGTTTTTTGCTTTTTGGAGAATGTGTTTTGAATTAATGGCCGAAGCAAAGTGAAGAAATAACACTGGGAAATATTTATAAGCCCAGGTTTGCAGCGCACAAAAGGGCTTGGGGACAGGAGTCCACCTCTTATGTAAGACGGTCAAGCCTCACTCTCCCATAGGGACTCTCTTGTAATCCTGACCTGACCCTGTCCCCTGACCCTGGACCTGGCTTTAGGTTCTTCCCACTCAGGGCCACGACCTCTCGGTCAAACACCATCGTGTGTCTGTCACAGGGTCGAATGCAGGCACAGCTTTTTCCTTATTCTACCATTGTGTCAGATGACGTTAATTCCTCATCAGCTGGACATCGAGGAAACCACTTCAGCAGCAGACCCAGGGTCAGAACACCCCCCTCTTTCCCATTGCTCTTGTCGGTAAATCACTTGAAGGCCAGCGAATACCTGATGTGGTATCAACAGAAACGTGACCAACTGCCAGGCCTGTTTGTTCACCTTTTGTGCCTTTGTCTAAAATGGAGTGTAAATCACTTTTTCCTCAGTTTCACTTTGTCTCTTATTCATCGTATCCTTAATTCTCTCTGCTCTCAGCAACAGCACAGTCAATCATGGCACAGGCTTTATTTAAACGGTCACTAAATTAGGGCCAGATCTAGGAGGATCGGTTATTCAAGAGTCTTATCTAACTTCTGAATTAATTGGAGTTTGTTTTTTTTTAACTTTGTAAGTAAGCAGATATTTTATTGTGTCAACTCACTAAATATTTTCAGTGATTAATGTGATTTCGTCACACAGCTACTTACTGAGAGTGATATTGAAAAGTTGCTGTGTTGCCACCCGGGTGGTTTGTGTGGTAAAACTTTCTTTCCCTCTTTCAGATAAGGAAAGCCTGATTACAGAAAGTGGAAAGCTCCACACCTTGGATATCCTGTTGAGTCGACTAAAGGCTCAGGGACACAGAGTCCTCATCTACTCTCAGATGACTCGCATGATAGACCTGCTTGAGGTATAAAAGCACACATACACGGCATACATCTATGAACAGAACAGTTTGTTCCTCATTTTCATTACCTTTGCCCCTTTACAGCTCTGCTCGCTCTATTCATATTTATTCTATTTATAAGTTACCCTCACACTATTGCTAATTGTAGAAAAAGTAACGCCCTGAATTCCATTCAGTAATATGTAACCTGAAGGTGAGTTAAATCTTTTAGATATCCGCTTAAATAAATTCCAAGTTTCCAAGTAAGTTGTTTAAGCTCCTCACCCGAGCAGTGTAACTGTTGGGGTGTGGCGCTACAGCACCTCTAAACCACCCGCCTGTCCCTCGTTGGTGCACTCATTAGACTGCTAATTAACAGGTCAGGACTAATTAGAGGGGTCTCATCTGCAGGGGAGGCAGCCAGATGGGAGGGATAACTGGGTGCAATAAGGAAAGCGGGGAAGTGGAGGGGAAATGGGTGATGGGAGTGGCAGGGTCTTTGGGGTTAGAGGAGAAGGAAATAACATGAAAACCGAGACAAAGGTAGATGGATGAGGAAAAGGTGGGAACAAATAAACGATCACAAAATCAGTTTTTCCCGGTTCGAGCTGGATAAATGAACCCGTATTACTTTTACCCACATGCATGTTTTTCTTTTTAACTTCTTAGATAGTTATAATCTTATTGGAAGGTCAGAGGCTGTCAGTTTGGAATCCAAGATGAAGATCGAAGTGCATTACTGCTCTCCCTACAGGAATATAATGCTGAAACACAGCCCTGACAGTGATTATGTG